CACTCATTAATTGACCCTGTGAGTGATCTAGATTTGTGGTTCTGTTTCTTAAGATGGAATTTAGCAATGCCAGTTTCTGATCTCATTCTTGTGAAGGTTGGTGAAGCCCTCGTTGGGTTTGTTTTAAGTTTTAAAGTTTTTGATAAACTTTGTATTTTAAGTTTTGAGAAATTGGTTTGGTTCTCAAATGTGTTATGGTGAATCTAAAAGCTTGGCTGATTGTGAAATGATATTTTAATCGCTGATGTTGTGAAACTTTATATTTTTAAGTTTTGAGAAATCTGAATTTTGGGTTTGGTTCTCAAATGTTTTATTGTGAGTCTGGAGACTGATTCTATGTTGTACGTTGCCTGTTACATCTTCCTTTTGCTCTTTGTTTGGAATACTATTGTTTGGATCATTTAAAATGATATTTTCCAGTTAATTCTGGTTTGATTCAAATGAATGTGATTGTTGCAGGTTTTGTAATCCACGCTTTAGAGTGAATCAAGGAAGATGAGTCTCTCATGGTGTTTCAGAACAAAGTGTATAAAGGTTGTGATTCTTGCAGGTTTTGGATTCTTGATTTTAATTTAGTAATCCCCATTTTGAGTTTTTAAATTGTATAAAGGTTGTGTTTTTGTAACTTTGCAGTATGGTATTGGGATCATACGCACATTTCATGTGGGAAACAGAGGAGGATGAAGTTGATGGTGTACACTGAAGAGTAATAAATATGTGTAACACAAAGAATGTAAAAATCTTAAAACAGAATAAAATGACTTCAGTAAAGCTTTTGTATTAAAGATTAGATGGCTATTTGGAAACTGAAATTAAGAAATTAGCTAGTTCTTTATCGGAATTTTGAAACTAAAGCGGATCATTCGTTGACTATATGAGAAGAACAAAAACGAGAAGTCATTATGATCATCACAATCAAAAAGAAACCAACTAAAAAAAGAGATATTAATGATGCATGATTGAAAGAGCTCAGAGCAGATGTTTCTGATATGTTACGGATTGTAAAATGCAACAAGTTCAGTTTGAAATCATATTATGACTTATTCGTGAGACTTTGTATTTTTTTTTTTTTTGAATTGAATGTAAAATTTTATTCAACCAAAAACCTGTTTTACAACTAGTGCATCTTTGTTTCGAAAGCTTTAAATAAAATGACAAAACCTTCATGGCCTTGTTTCGAACCAGAGCTAGGGAGCTTGGTCGAAACGTCTATCTCCCATAGACCGGATCAGCAAGATCCGGTTCTGCACTTGCTTGTCGATGAATTTGGTAAGAGCTGCAGATGGGAGAGGTTGATCTCCATGTCGTCGACCGTTTCTCTCTTTCCAGATGCTATGTATGGTCGCCTGGAAGACATACCTAGCCAGGAAGAGGCGGACTCGGTCGAAGATTGCAGATGAGGTGATAGCGACAATGGAATGCCAATCTGTTGAAAAGTGAGAGAGAAGGAGGCCTTTAGACAGCTCAGTCCATACTTCTGTAGTAGCTGCATGAGAAAAATAGATGGTCCCTTGATTCAGTAAGAGAATGGCAGAGGACACATGCAGTGTTAACTCCCCTGTTCCACATCACCATGTGATCTGTGGTAGAGAGGCGATCGTGACTTGCCAGCCAAGTCAGGAAGGAGTATTTAGGCGTGGAGTAAGGGAACCACACGCTTTTATACCACATGACTTCAGGGGCAGGATTCCGAATCAAACTCCAAGTGCGTTTAGTATTGAAAACCTGTTTGAAAGTGTCATCCTTCCATCTCCAGAGGGGCGTGTCCTCAGCAGCACTATTCTGACTAATCTGATGTGTGTCAAGCAGATTTTCAATATCATTGAGATAATCCACTCGATGACGCCGCCGACGACGACTAAACGCCTGAGCCACCGTAGAGTGCATTGGAATACCAAGATCAATGAAACCTCGGGTCCCAGTTATATCAATAAGCCGGCCCATTGGTGACCAAACATCATACCAGAATGATGTTTTCAACCCATTACCCACCATAACCCTGAAAAACCCTTGAGCTTTGTCTCTCATTTTCAGTACTTTCTTCCACATCCAGGATCCCATGCTCGTGGTAGAGCTAACCGACCAGAACGAACCTTGACGGATCAGGTATGTCTTGATCCAATTAACCCAT